TTGTATAAGCGTAATCCAAGCGAATTTTTGCGTCGATTCGTAACCGTTGACGAAACGTGGGTCCACCACTACACTCCTGAAACCAAAGAACAGTCTAAACAGTGGATTGGACCAGGGGAACCAACTCCAAAGAAGGCAAAAACAATTTTTTCGGCGAACAAGGTTATGGCTACTGTTTTTTGGGATGCAAGAGGTATTATATACATTGATTACCTTGCAAAGGGTAATACTATCACTGGTCAATACTACGCAGACTTATTGCAACGTTTGAGCCACGAGGTGAAAATTAAACGACCTCATCTGGCGAAGAAAAAAATCTTGTTTCATCACGATAACGCACCAGCGCACACGTCAATCGTTGCGACGGCTAAAATCAACGATCTAAAGTTTGAATTGATGCCGCACCCTCCTTACTCTCCAGACCTAGCCCCGAGTGACTATTTTCTGTTCCCTAATCTCAAAAAATGGCTTGGCGGTAAGAGATTTGCGGACAATGAAGAAGTAATCGAAGCTGTAAATGGTTATTTTGAGGAGCTTGACGAATCAGTCTATAGAGATGGCATTAATAGACTGGAACACCGCTATGAGAAATGTATCAGCCTTGGAGGAGATTATGTTGAGAAATAAAAAAAAAAAATTTTTAAAAACCTTGTTTTTCTTGGTCAGGCCGGAAACTTATCAATCCACCCTCGTATGTCGCCCATCCTACTTTCTTTGCTGCTAATATGTCTCTAACTACCCCTTCATGTCTGAAAAGGTGTCCTACCAACCTATCTCGCCTATTTCTTACTGACTTCCATAGTGACCTCTGTTTTCCTATTCTTTTTAATCCGTCGTTATTTCTAACCTCTATCCACGACATCCCTCATCATTTGAATGTCACACCACATTTCGAACGCTCCTAACATTTTTTATCCGCTGAGCCCCACCGTCCATGTATGTTTCTCACCCGCAAAAGATTAGCTGTCCTTTTGGTGTTCTTGTTTTCAAACATGTCTTTTAAAGACACTATATGCCTAATATGGAGAAAAAAGAATTGGAAAACGTAGTAACCTTCATAAAAGTACTGCAAATTAAATTTTTTGGAATTCAAAATTAGGATATTTCAAAAACCAATGACAATTTTGACCTTCCTCAGACAGCCTCACAAAGAACGTCGAAACTGATTTCTCTGACTTCCACGTTAACCTGAGTACTCGATTAATTGTAATAGATATCGATCGTAAACCCCTAATATACTCAATAGCGTTTATTTATTTCTTAAATTTTTAATAAATATTTCCTTTCTGTAAGGACAATTTCAAAAATACTGCCGATAGTTGATTTTGTCCGTCCCTCTCCCTTGGCCGGTTGTATTTTCTATTATATACATAATAACGATAACTCCTTATTTGTTATTTAGTTCCACAATGCATCGTTTTAGAGGATCTGTTGTATTCTATATGTTTTCTCTAAAACACGTAGACCTATACGTATTTACAGTCAACCCTGCTTGCCATCGCAATGCACCATTTGTATTTATAGTCGATAAAATCGGTAGCCCGCTCATTTCTCACCGTATTGTAAAACAAGATAGCAAACAGCGCCGAGGGCGTCGTCGGTCGACGTCGCGGTGCGCCATTAACAACGCTCTACGTTTTGTACTACGCTTCCTAGGACACATTACGGCGGAACTAACAAAAGCTCACTTTATACGTATCGATCCACTATAACTCACTCACTCACTCGTTTCCGTTTGAAAGCTGCATGTCCAAATGGCAAAAAAAGAATCCTTATTAATCCTTTTTTATACATATACATATGTCCAGTTGTATAACTACATAGTGTTTATAAATTAATTGTCTTTGGACTGCGTCACGGTTAAAAACAATGGATTAATTAACAAATTAATATTAACCGCTATTGAATTTCAAAGTGTTTCATATAATATTAATATACATAGAAGATCAGAGAGCATTGATGCGTAATGCCAAAGGTACCGGGTTTAATTCCCTGCGAGGATGTGACAACAGCAAAATTATCTTGAGACAAATTATAGTGGATAAAAATTAAAANAGCTCACTTTATACGTATCGATCCACTATAACTCACTCACTCACTCGTTTCCGTTTGAAAGCTGCATGTCCAAATGGCAAAAAAAGAATCCTTATTAATCCTTTTTTATACATATACATATGTCCAGTTGTATAACTACATAGTGTTTATAAATTAATTGTCTTTGGACTGCGTCACGGTTAAAAACAATGGATTAATTAACAAATTAATATTAACCGCTATTGAATTTCAAAGTGTTTCATATAATATTAATATACATAGAAGATCAGAGAGCATTGATGCGTAATGCCAAAGGTACCGGGTTTAATTCCCTGCGAGGATGTGACAACAGCAAAATTATCTTGAGACAAATTATAGTGGATAAAAATTAAAAATTAAAACATAAAATCAATGGATTATATTTAATCGATGTTGAACATGTGTTATACTGAGATTGATGAGCAAAAATACTCTTGGCCTTCCACATGTAGTAATAAAACCAAGCACACGTATTGTCAAAAAAAAGAATAACATTTAGGTTAAATGGCCGGACTATTTATTAGTCTTGTCTTGATCTTGCGTTGGTTCGTCACTAATTAAGCATCCAAAGAAGTTTTGAAGACGGGACAAAACGTATCATTAATCATATAATCATTTTTTTATCATTATTTGTCCTTTCAGGAGTACGGTTGAAACGATATTTTTTTGTAAACGCAAGTTTTGCTAAACAACGAAAATGAATTAAAGGTTTTTATCTTGAAACTCTTGTCCTACTTCATGAAAAACTGTTGGAAACTCATGAAAAAATTGTAACGTTTGGATGACAGTTGCCACGTAAATTATTTTTATTGCCTTTGTACTAGTTCTGAAACTAAAACTGGCAAGTTCCAAACTTTCTAGTGCTACGAAAAAATATATTTCGTTAAACAACCACAATGTTGTGGTATTTCGGTTATATGTAACCAGCAGCAAATTTTGTTGTAATCTATTGCAATTTTTAGGCATACTAAATACTTTAATTTGATCAATACAGCTATCCCCCCATTCGTCGACTAGGAACGTTCCGGTAAATTCGAATGACGTAAATTTAAACATAAAATGTTATTTAATTAATACCTCCATCATATATCAAATATCAAGCACTATTGAGATAACGCCTACCTTCAAAACTGTTCAGCTCTCTTTAGTACTAAATTTATAATTTTTTGATGTATATATATATATATATATGTAATGAATTGTATTCAAATGATACAATAAAAAATGTTGGCTAATATATATACCAGAGGTTGACAAGTAATTTTCGGTGGGGTCCAGATCTTTTTGAAAATTTTTATCGAGTTCCTTTCTTCAAAAAATGATAAGGGTAGCGCTAAAAGCTCAAAAATGCTTTGTCATCTACAGAAAAATATTTCTTAAATAATTTATTTGAGTAATTTACTTTAAAAAAATTTTTGGCCGTCCAGTTTTTGACTTCGCGCGGTCCGGATCGTACAGGCGTTAAGTAAATTAAATCAAGTACGTATGGAAACTGTCAGAAAGCTGATGATATGGTTCTGAATTGCCTCCAATATGCGACTAGTGGAGCTAAAATTGGCAGAGTACATTGTCGCCGTTAAATAGTACTAAATCGCAACATTTTCCAAATAAAACGATCCAATTCCGAGGGAAATGCTTTCGTCGGGAGCTATTCCGTTTTGATTCAGCCGGTAGGCGTATCCAATTGCCGGCTCAGCAGAAGAATATCGATGACGAGGCTTAACGTCGCGGGAAAACTTTACTTTTCCATTTTATTGACGCGCGCGGCCGCCTTTCCCTTGTCTGCCGGAAAAGTAGGCAACGTGGAGCGTAATAGGGGTGAAACCACTCTGACCGTAATCAAATCCCTAACTTAGCAACGACGAGCGACGGGGGTGGTGGCTGCCGCGCCGCCGACGGTGGTGGCGGCGGCGGTGTATGGCACGGCGGCACAGCAACGAGTCAGTTGGCGTCGCCAGCGTTCGCTATGTGGGAGGAAGAGGAGGTGTACAATCCTGGGGGAGGATGAACGGCGTAGAGGAAGGGGGGTTTGAGGACGAGGGCGAATAGCGCTACATTCATTCAAGGGGGAGCCGCGCATAAAAAGCGGCGTCCGTGGAACAAATTCAACTTCTCCTGTTCGACAAACCGAGCTATTGTTTGCGATCGGCTCTTAGGCCATTAAATAAAATTAACTTGACCGTTTCAATAAATTGTTGCTTCTTACTATTGACGTCTTTATGTAACTTCAACACATAATAATAAAAGACTCTTGTTGTTTCGATTTCAATACAATTTAGAAGATTGTTGTGCGAAATCTAAACAGTCAGCAGATCCTGTAAGGATCTTAAATGGTAATCTTAGTGTTAGAAGACCTTCAAATAAATTGATACCCTGCTTAGATTATAGTCTACAGAGTTGAGACATTGTAAATTTGATCTGCTACTGTTTAATATTCACCAGGAATATGTAGTTTACATCCGATTATTCGATACCAACTTAATCTAAATTTATCTACATACAAGAACGTTTCGGTAATGTTGTAGTATCCTTTGTTTAATCTGAAACCTCACCTTCAGTTCGTTCCGTATCATGATCTAGGGGGTGACCATTATATGTTACGACTATTCTTGCCTAAGGTTTAACAACTAATCAATTAGATTTCATGTATGATTTCAAAATATAATTACATCAAAATACCGGTTCTTGGAAACAATATAAATCAGCCTCATTTTGGTATCTATTTTAGGTTATGTCTTTGTGATTTGTGTGTTGAAAGCAGGCAGCTATTTTTTCAAATGTAAGAAATCGCAATAACCGAACAACTGTTAAGCCACTACTATATAACTTATGTTTTTGTGTAAAAAAAGTTGAGATTAAAAAGGAATTTATCTGGCAACGCTAATTTTTACTGCTTGTTTTTAAATATATTCTTATTTTAATTGCAGATACGGGGCAGGTTACGACCTGGCGGCCAGGAGGAAAAACGCGACCCGAGAATCGACTGCAACCCTTAAGGCCTGGCTCAACGAGCACAAAAAGAACCCGTACCCTACCAAGGGCGAAAAGATCATGCTGGCCATCATTACCAAAATGACCCTGACGCAAGTTTCCACGTGGTTCGCGAACGCGAGGAGAAGATTGAAAAAGGAAAACAAAATGACGTGGGAACCGAAGAATAAAACGGATGACGATGACGACACCATGGTATCGGATAACGAGGACAAAGACAAGGATGATGACGAAAAACGAAACGAAACAGGTAGTTAAAGAATACATTGTGATTTATGATTAGCCTTTGCATTTTATACAGGAAACTTAATATTATGTGTAACGAAACATTTAAAAAGTAAGGAATACTTAATGTCGAGGATATTAAAAAATTCTTCAAACGCAATTCATGGAATGCAGTGACGATTTGCTCATTATTAATTGTACAGATTTGCATGTCCGTAGAACCCATGTGAGAGTTAGAGAGCGGAATTGGTTCATACATGACCATTTCCTAATTAAAACCAAAAGTCGACATGTAACTTCTCCGCGGAATGACTCGTTATCCCAGTAAATTCTAATTTCGACTTTTCGCCGATGAAACCAAACGTAGTCCAACTTAATCTATCATACATTCTCCGTTTGATTGCGGATGTTAATCTCTACCAAGATTAGACAAAACATCGTCAGGCAGAAATCGAAACGCACAATTGCCTTGGACCTTGACTAACTAAGTCCTTATATCTGACTTGAGGAAGTCAATCTTGAACTATAACATGTATAGGTACATACTTAAAGGCAATTCGGGAGTAAAATTTCTTTAACAGGTACATGAACCATATTTGTATCAAATTAAAGGTTTGGGCACTTTATACGACTATTAAGTCTGGTCACACGTCTTACAAGTACATACATACACATATTTTCTTGCATAATGCGCTAAAATTGCCATTTTTGTTAGAATCATGTTTGAATATATTAAAAATTGCACCATATTTGTCTTGTAATAAACTTTACGTATCTAGTTTTCGTTACACCCATAATTGTAAACATAATTCCAGAGTATTTTTATGCAATGATTATTGTCCTGAAAAGTCGTTTAGCTTTAGTACATCACTTATAATGCAAATTGAAAAACTGGAATTTTTATTACAGTCTTTTTTCGAAATCTTTTAAGATCATGTCAAGTGATTTCGAAACAGCATCAGGAAAAAGGAAAAGCATTTTACTTCTCGCTCGTATTTTATATAGCCCCGAGATTCACATTATCCGCGAAAAAATCTTAAATGGTTTCCGATTCGAGAGCCTTTCATTTAAAATTCTTATCAAACGTCTTTTCGGACTCGCGAAGTTTAAAATACATTTGAATTCGGGGATTAAGGGTCCCGTTTACGCCTGCTGCTAAACAGGAGCACCCCAAGTGTTGCGCAAATTAAGTCCCCCGTTTCATTTAATCGGATCAGCAGTTAATGCTTATAGACCCAAAACGAAGATATCATTTACTCTCCCCTAAGTCTAATGGCTGCGAAATCACTTAGGGCGCACTTTCCTTTTTCAATTACACCCCGTCTCAAAAAAATTACGGCCGCGCTGTAAAAAGAATGAAGACTTTTTCCATTCTTCTTAAACTTCAAAAAGAAAAATAAAAAAAGGAACATTTGTAGTAAAACGTTCGGAATCTGTGACTCTTATATCTAAATGGGAATTCAATAAAATCTTGTTGGGGTAAATTAAAAACTTTTCTTATTTTTTTTGAATATGGTCAGCAATTACTGGATGTTTAATAAATTGCAAATATTTTGTCTTACCATTATAATTTAACCCATAGATTATAATATTGATATTGTTATGTTGAGTTTTATCTGCAAATTACTATGCCCAAGTAAAACAGTTTCCTAGATGCAAAATTGAAATATTAGAAGATGATAGTTGTGCGTGGTTGACTGTTCATTTAAATTCCCATTTGTCCCTTGTTTGTCTTTAAAGGAAGTAGGCACCAAATCAGGTTATCTACCTTGTTTCAGACATTCATGGTCACATAAAGTCCGAACGAAACGGCAAGGATTTAGAAGACGACGACCTCACAGATGAAGAAAGGAAAGACGACATTCTGGGTAATTCGATGCACCACATGCTAGGTAACAGTTACGGTATGAAGCCCGAAATGAAACCTTCCGATTGTGGCGTCCCATTGCCACCGTCCAAACCAAAGATTTGGTCCTTAGCCGATACAGCAGCGTGCAAAACACCGCCGCCTCCACCGCTAGCTCAACAGCCTTGGTCTAACAGCAGCAACGGATTCGCGTTGCCGAGTTCGGCGAGGTACGGTGGAAGTTCGGGCGGAGGGTTCCTTCCGAACCATTGTCAGCAGGGGTTTCCCGACGTACAGACGGATACGCCACCCCAGACACCCCCTAACATGAAGCTGCCGAGTGTCGCGGGCAACTTATTGCCGGGACAGAGTCCCTGTTTAAGTGGCAACGCCGGGAATAATGGATATTCGCACCCGGGATTCTTGGGGGGATTCGGACGACTGCAGTCACCCCAAAGACCGCCACACACGCAAAACAATCAAGTGGCCAACCCTAGCTCAGAAAACGCTGCCTTCAAACCTTTCTATAAAAGGTAAGATTAAATCTGTGAACGCTCACTGAATATTGCTTAGACGGAAGGGGCCATTCAATCCGAAAATAATGCATTAGATTACTTAGTTGTTCATAAAAGGAATCATTCATTCATGTAACTTGGAATAAAATAAAATCAAAATGAGTAGTGGAATGGTACAAAACATTTTCTTTAATATAGAGAATTAACGGTTCGATGATTATCTGTAATAATTATGCAAGAAAGATGGTGTCAGAAATATATAAGTGAAATTCTCATTATTTGCCCAATCACTGACATCAAGAGTACCTACAGAAACGCGTAAAATGAAATCTGGTAGAATTATAGGTTTAATGAAAATTACGTTTTAAAAATTAAAGAAGAAACATTGCAGTATAATATTATGGACTTCTAACCCGCTGAGTCGGTAGACATAGCTTTTTGATCGGAAAATTTGTGTGCATCCGCCCCCTTTTTTGTTGAGAGAAATTTGCTGCGCCCCCCCCCCCTCTTAAATTTTATAGTAACCAAATTTTATAAATATCCAATGGCAAAACTCGAGGGCCTTTCTTGTCAATATCCGTTTGATTTCTTTTTGTTTGTTTGCATTCGAAAAAGATATTTTGGTAATAACTGCGCACCCCTCTTTCCCTAGGGAGACGCGTTCCACAAGTTGGAAATCAGTCTAGTAAATATAACTTCTTGTGCTTTTTGCAGTTGGTCATCATCTATAAATTTTAAATATCTTTCTGGTATCAAATCACCCTGCTTTTGCAAAAATGTGAGCACTTTTCGATACTCAATAATCATTTTTTAAAGGTATGAATTATTTACTCGTAATAAGCATTTGGAAATCATGTGCAAGGAAGAGGTAGCCGACTTATTTCTAGATCCTCTTAAGTGGTATCAATCAACAATTCAATGCATAAACTAAAAATATCTCATATTCGGTATTCTTAGTCACTGCAGAAATAAGTACTTATATCAACTTTACCAGCGAATAATGTATTATCGTGTTTTACTAATTTAATATAGTAATAAATCTAATCATAAACATGAAAATGTGTTTATAAACAAAAGCTGAAAAAAACCGCAAACATTGATAATTAATTTATTAAAATCAATTAACTTCCTTCCATGAAAGCGGAAACAATCGATTGGATTTTAATTCTGATGGTGTGATTAGAAATGTAATTCCTTTCAGCCCTTTTGCTTTTTCAATAATTCTGTAGAAATTGTTTTTAGTTAAGCAGTGTTCCTTGCCGAGTAGCTAGCTGGTTGAAAAAACAAAACACGTTCGCGTTAGCAGCTTTTTTAAAATGCTAAGTTGCGATGCCTGGTATATGTATTTCGAGTTTATTTTAAATTTAAAGATCGCCAAGATTGATTTATACCTGACAGGTAGAATCTCATTAAATAAGAAAATTTAATGTATCTTGTGTATCCTTCAAAATTACCTCCTTGGAAAGTAACGTAAAGATCACATTTACTGCATGAACTAGATGGTGCACATGCATGGGTTTTCAATGAAAATGGTGACTTAAAAATTACCTCTGCTAGTTAAATAAACTGTAAACAATAAACAAAATGAAGAAACAGTGGTTACTTTCTTGATGCGACCCATTCTAACGCAACTGTAATGTTTCTAGACGGGTTTGTTGCAATTGCATAATCATCGCCAAATAAAAGGGAAAAAAAGTCATTTTGATGTAAATTTCTCCTTATTCGAGATGGACTACCTGAGGTTATAGCAGAAGTAGTGCTTATAGAACATCTTTTTCTATTTCCTGGCTGGAGAAATTTCTTGCTTTAGATTCTAACATGCTTAATAACAATTTAATAGAAATTCTCCAATATTGATGTTGTAAAATCGACAAAATTAATGTTTTTTATTGAAATTATATAAAAAAAATTAAAATTGAGCATGCTCGAGTTAGTCACAATTGAGTCTTGTACGTTTATGTTGGAGGAAAATTTTTCAATTTTGGTCAACTTTAAACCCTACCGGAAAAACTAGCCATGGAATCAAAAAACGTCCCATTGAAACACCATACAGGGACAACCCATCTATTCACTCTACTGAAATAATTTTAGATCTCCCATCTCGAAGGACAAATTTACATTAACGAATTTTCTTCTTTGACCAACTTTGAGGTCGCTCTAAATGCGTGACCGGACGCGCTGATACGACGTTTTGTTTTTCGTGCCCCTATATCCTTAATAACGAGCCGCCACTGTAACGTGCAATGTGTTATATGTTAAAACCTGCTTGTTTTGAAAGATGCTGTAATATTTGCAGCACTTTTATATTTTAATTCGTGAACGCTAATTAATCAAAAACGCCAAGGATAAGAATAAAAAATTCTGTCATATAGGCCACCTAAGGTTTTTCGTTAAGAAACCGATGTAGCTGATTTATATCGATCAGTCCAATCCTTTAGACTAAACTTATAAGATTAATGACTATATTTAATGTTGCCTGTGTAATTAGCATTCAACTTAATTGGTTCTCTATCATATCTGCTTTCGGCAATATTATTTTTTCGTATGAATCGTCAAAACGCCTTTCTATATTAAAGTAGTAGTAGTAAAGCGCAGATGATAATTAAGTTTTCTGTAACTGTATTAGTTGTTGTTGACGATGTGTATCCAACTTGTCGTCGAACGGTGCGCACGCAATTTCCGTCCCCTGCTCTCAGCAGTCCGAAAAAGTAAAATATTTATTATAAAGAAAAAATGAAACCGTTTGCTTTTGTCAATGTTACTTTCCGATGATTGAAGACCAAACTCAAAATAAATTTTCGGTTTCTGTACAACCAGAATCACTGTATTCGCATTTTCTTTTCTTTGCAGTTCCCAAAGTATGAACGGAGGGTTCGTGTCACCAGTGTGAGCCGCGCCCTGCTGGACGGTTCGCTAGGTGAGTCTTTATATGTAAACTATTATAAAAAAACACTGTAAATGTATTTACGTAAGTACGTACATTTAGCAGACAGAGAACGAGACAAGAGAGTATAAAGAACCGAGTGCAAGTGTAAATACGTGTGTATGTACATGAGTGTGTTCTCGTATACAGAGTCGTCCACATCTCTCAGGTGCTCTGAATGAGGTATGCACGCTATCGCCACCTCCGTGACATTGACAAATGACACAAGATTCTGATCAGTGAATGGCCTGGTCGAGTGCGAACGAGTTGCACTCTTTCTCTGCTCTGTTCCTTCTCAACTTTGTAGTGTCCTTCTTCTTTGCTTGGTCGTCTTGCAAAGACAAAGTCTTGATTTGAACTGTTTGTCTTTGTATAGAAACTTGACACCATTTCGCACATTCAAATTATTATATTTACTTTCATTAATAGTCCTGACACAGGATTTACTGACTCCAAGTGTTATTTATTGAGTGATTTTTTTGTGTAAAACCCAACTTAACCCAAGCAGAATATTTTCAAAATTCTAACTCGATGTAGTGGTACATGATTCTAAATCAATTTGTTTTCTAATGGGGCTTTATTTTATTCAATCTTCTACTCAAGGCATCTTTAACCTAATCCTACATAGTCTACTCAACAATTTCGGATTATGTATTTTTCGTTTATGATGAAGGCAGGGTAAACAGTGGTATTTAATATTTTGGTTGTGCAGAAACGCTAGAAAAAAACGATCCTTTAACCGCGTCGCGTAATCGCGAAAGATAGATAGTTTTTCCTTGTTTTTCCGCTGACCCAAATGACTAATCATTTTCAACGGCTGCTTCTGAAGACGGCGGTTTAAAAATCCAAAAGAAACATTGTACTGAATTATTATAATTATAACAATTCGCAAATTATTAAACTATGCGATTTTAATGAGGTACTTTTATGCTTTCACAGAAAACAGGAGGATTTTCTGTATCTAGGATTTACTGAGCCTCATAGACTGTTTAATTAATTCTCATTTCCTTTGTTTTCCTTTCTAATCGCTTCACAGAAAAGGAAAACTTATCTTGTTTTTATTTGTTCATTACGCGTATCCGTGTGCTTCGATGTGATACACAAAAGCGATAAATCGCAGGTAATTTAGTATTATCTATTACTTAAAAGTGTCAACTAGAAGTGTAATAATAACAATATGTTCCCTAGATAAACCTAGATTTACACCTAACACGCATAGAATTCTAACTGAGAACTAGACGGAATCTTTACAATAATTATTAACGATTTTAAAATTTAACAGCAGTAAGCTATGTAGTTTTTTTCGCTATTAATTGATCGCGCCCTGTATATGTGTAACAGTTCCAAATTAAAGTGATCGGTCCGCGGGACGAACCGGCTCTTTTTTATACCTGTCGCCTCTGAGTGAGAATCCTTTGTTTTAAATCAATATCCCGTGGGCCTGCCATTAAAATCATCCACTTTTACCTGAACTGTTGGTGTCCGATAGTGCCGTAATTAAGAAGACCAACGTCGTAACTTGTTAGTGTCCGTCGTTGGTCGCTCGTATCCCGAGAGTAGGTTAGATTAAAATCCGATACTGTAAACTGAATGTGGTCCTGAGTACCTACCCATTCATTTATGTAAAGGTGTTCGTTCAGCTGGACTCCATAAACATAGGCAAGCATCAAGAAAGCTTACAGCCCAAGACCCCGTCCGATAACTCGATACTGTTTAATTAACCTGTTGATCTTTAACTTGATCCTCGTAAACTCAAAAAATAATACAAGTTGCCAGAAAGAACAAGTCCGAAACAGTATCTAGGTACAAAAAAGGCAACCATCACACACGGACGGACGGACGGATGTACAGAACATTGGAGCGTGCTATTTGAAACTAGATCGTGTAAATATATTCTTATTATAATGTACTAAATTAAGTACAGTAAAATTTGAGGTGACAACTCAGAAACAAGATGCTATGTATTAGCAATTTATATTTTTATATAGAAAGCGAATTGAAAAATATCTTGAAGGAGTTGTGGCGAATACAAAAACTAAAACGTACAATTTTGGATATATATTTTTGTATATTAATTTTTCATATTTTTGTACATGTGTAAATATTGTAAACCTTTCGCTTCTTATCTTGTGCATGCCTTTGTTTCTTTTCAAACTAAATTCTATTGTTTCGCTATCGCTATCTTTACCTAGAATTTCATCGTCTTCGATACCTATTTAACAACCCTTATTAATAGCTGGCTTTCCCTCGCTTACTTTTTCTTCGAATTCTATTCTATTCAATCTCAACTAGTCTGTACATGTTCGGTTAATACTTTTCCTTCTAGAATGTTCTCCCTCTATTTACTAACAATCCTGTTGTATAAATACCCTTCAAATTTCCTACTTATTAACCAGTGTCCAGTAACCAGTCTACCTCTTGATAATTCGTGTTTTAAATTGTTATTATTTGTTGTTGTTCTTATGTTGTTTTTGAGTGTTGTTCAGTCTTATTAAACTTTTGTATATATTCTTCATTTGTGTTGTGTTACGTTCCTTTTGGTACAAAAATTATTAGTGCTTTTATTAAAGGCGCTAAAGAGTCCATTAATTTCCAGGTGAAGGAATTAGACAAAGTACTTTAAAATATATTTTCATAATATGCCCTCTTCATCGCAGTATTGGGCATCAGAGTGTCACACCGATCCTCATGATCTCTGCCCCTTCAGGTATTCAGGGACTTGTCTTAGTCTGGTTTTTTTTTTAAAAACCCCCCCCCCCCCATTATGGTTGAACCTATAGTCCGGCTCCCTAAATCTTCGAAACTCGCAAGCCAATTCACCCACTCTAGTTTGTAAGTCAAGAGTGATTAAGATATAATTTTTATGTTTTGTGATCATAACTCATGAACTACGTTTCCGGGGTTTCCTTAGTTGTAAGGAACAAATAGGGGCATGCTAAGGAAAAACAGTCATGATCACGGTCAAATTTAGTCGAAATGAGAGGGAGAGGTGCAGTCTTTGTGGGAGAAGTTGCGATAAAATTAAAATTTGTATGTAATAACTGTGAATGTTTGATGATTTTTACGCTCTTATGGAAGTGAAGCAAAACGCTGGATATAAAAATATTTTATTACCCGGCAATTGTGTTGTTGTCTTTCTCAACATCATCATCATCATAAGGTCGTCAGTCCTAAGTCTGTTTGGACACGCACCTCCACTCTTTCCTATCCTAAGCTAATCTTCCATTTCCTTAAAACTAGAACAGCCCTTAACTATTTGTGGACAGTAATCTAATCTAGGTCTAACTCTAATCCTTTTAACTCCAGTTTCTGCTTCTAATATGTCTCTGATTAGCCCTTCATGCTTAAAAGGTGTCCTACCAACCTATCTCGTTCATAGTCCACACTCTTTCTTAATACCTTTTCATTTCTAACCTTCTTTATCCACGGTATCCTCATCATCATTCGCCTGTATCACCACATTTCAAACGATTCTAACAATCTTTAGATATATTAGGTGTTAAAAAATCGACCAACAATTCCATAAGATTTTTATAATTAATTTCAAATGGAGGCATAAGGGATGGACCTTTAGACGGTTATAAGTTGAATCAGGAACAACTGAATGAATGGGGTAGAAAATGGGGATATGTGTCGGGCGAATGGTGGCGATAAGATGTAATGTAATGATGAGAAGGGAGATAAGCTCTAAGAAATATTGATGATAAGTCGAGATATGTGGAATGCATGAAATCAATGGCGCTTTAATTTTTTGGCATTTCAATAATTAACACTTTTTATACATACTTGTGCATAACAATTGTAATTTTTATATGTTTTTGTACAGGTCGTGACCGACGGCAGGGACAAACTAGACAAACCTGACAAGAGAAAATGGGCAAAGTGCAAAGTTTAGTAAAAGGATGTCAGGACGTGAGTGAGTTAACGACTTGCAGTGAAACTGGTGGTTGCAATCCAATGTAAATTTCGTGTACATGCATTTATTTATATCTGTGATAAAGAACAGGAGTTTGTCCAAAAAAAATGGTGTTTTAGCTCGGCGGCAGTGGGACTATTTTTTGTTTTTTTTTCTTCTTTTTGTTGGTCGTATACGGAAGTGGTGAAAACGCGACCGGATTTACTTTTTTTTTTAAACTTTAATATACATAAAGTGCAACATTTAGCGGTCAATTGCATCACTTTCTTTATTGTTATTTAATTAAAAGTTGAATTTTAAACTGTTGTGTATCAAGGATTTTTAACATCGCAACTAACATAATTTGTTGGGTCTCAGCCCGAGATTGTATATTATTAACTATTGTTTGTAAATAGATCAGTGTGTATAGGAATATTATATGAATTACAATTATCATTGTCTTGATTAAATCTTTAAAGGAACCAGGCTTTGTTTTATTTCTACATGTCCTCCACCCTGTGACAGAGACGGATCGAGGTAAAATCCGGGGAAGAATAAATTAAATTAAAACTTCAAAAACAAAAAATGTGTTTTAAAAAAGAAATTAATTCCTATAAGGTGTTTTTGAAGGACAGTTATTGGAGTATTTTAAAACAGCTAATCATATGCATTGTATGTTTGTATGTACATTCATTATAAACTGTAAATGTTTTTAATTTTTGATAATTTGCAATTTATGATTAGAGCTTTAAAGTGTGATGGATGCCACAAAATTATATTCCTAAGTAATTAGATGATCTTTTGTACCTTTATAACACAAGGAAAAACCAGTTTTTTTAACAACATGAATAGGTACCATAATATTTTAAACCTATCGCTAAGAGGCCGCTCACATGGGAGTAGCGAGAGATTTTTTCCAGGAGGCAAATTTTCAATAGCTGTAAAATTATATAGATTTAGGAGGGGGGGGGGGGCAATGAGCGTGCCGTGAGGTGGTGTCCCCATTGCCCCTAGCCTTCTACACTCATGACCGCTCATAAAGTACGTTAGCAAAAAAGGGGAAAGAAGGGATCTAATAAGGGAATGTTGCGTTCGCAGTACATCAACATTTTTCTTGGCAGCTTTTAAAATTATTTATTTTCTCGAAGGACCACCAAAAAATTATTAATAGGGGATGGGCTCGCTTTTGCGACATAATACTTGTTAGTAGGAGAGATCGCTGAATCAGGGACTTAGCATGACGAAGGGTTGAAGGAGGGATCCAAAAAAGTGAAATTCTGAGTGACGTATTTTGTAGATAACTCCTGATAAATCATATCGAACCTATTTGAAGATAAATTGATGATACGCATTGCATGAGAACCGTTCAAAAAGTAACTAGGTACATTGGGGCCATTTTAGAAGGTACCTGCTACTTAATTCCACAATTATTGCGTAATCTGCTTGTGAATTACTTATTATAACATAATGCAATCAAAATTCAGTTAATAATGTTACCAACATCCATTAAAATCACCCTTTGAAGGATTCACAATCGGTACATTTTTTTATTGGAACCATGATGGAAGTGGGCATTCCGTGAATTCTCTTTTTCTTGTTTGAGCTCGTTAACAGAAAATTATCCGATGTAAACTGAAGGTAGTTATTATTTGAAATACATGCCTACTTATGATAATAGGTATTTGGTCGAATAATGAAAACTCGGCTACATGCTCAATATCTCCACAAGTTTGTTGTTTTATTAAGCTTACTTACTACCAGCATGTCACAAGGAAAGGTAGGTATATACATAATTTTTAATAGTATATGGAGTAGCTAACAACCAATATTTGATAAATAAAATGCTTGCATTATTCATTAATAACGAATGATGGTTCTACTTAACTACCACACATGCCCCATTACATGCATGTGCATGTACCATCAATTGTAATGACATGTGAGAACCTTTGTGAGCATAAACCAGTATATTTCTTGTAATAAGTATCTCTCACTTTAAATTAATAATATCCCGCATTTTTTCTAATAATATGCCTATCAATTTGCCTTTAAATACCTACACATTAACGTTTTATGCTTATTATATACGAATCAACTAACCTCAACTTTTGTAACATTAAACAGTTAGGATCATAAAATTGTTATGCAGGTTATATTACAATGTTCATAACAATACGATTAAAATAAAGCTTATTAACTGATATTCCTTCTTACCAATTTGGCGATGATTTCAATATTCTCACGAGCAAGCATCCATCACACCGAACTCACCGATTACTATAAGGATTTACTACGCATCAACTACCGAGCACGAGAGTCGCAAATGACCGGCGCAGATTGAAGACTTTCACTATTAACTCTTATGCGAAACGCGGAGTGGCGCTGCTGAAAAATAGTTATGGCGGAAACTTTAAACAGAAAAAAGAATATAAAACATTTGTATACATTCAATTACAATATTTAAGTAGTTTAAAATAATTTACTGGCTGATTTTTGACTACAAATTTAGTCATACAGGTTCTGACTAGAACTTACACATATTTATAATAATATACAGAAAAAGGTTCCGTTGAAATACGTTCTCTACTTTTAAACTTGATCTAAAATAATCAGAAGTTGTATCAGAAGTTTATTTTCGTACCTATCACTTTATTGCCCTGTAAGATATTACAATTTAAAACCTACTTCCTCTGTGCTGAAGGGAGTCAGGCAAACTAAAAAAAGTATAAATGCCCAGTAAACGTAAAAAAAGATCAAAACTATTTGCGATTTTCTTCTGTTTCAAATTTTGTTCCGCATAGAAAAGTTGTTGAATTTTAAGGGACCACATGATTCTGGGCTGAATCGAAGCCGTGTGATACCTAGCTTTGTTTTTTTTTTTTTAATACAAATCCCTTTTGTTTATTAAGGAAACTAATTTAACGAAAAAAATACGTCCAAATGTGGTTTAAAATATTTTCTTAGTATCTGGATCTTACTGTGGTCTCATATAAATGTTGTTGGTATCTAAAGTTTAAACTTTTACTCCAAAGATCAAAGGCGAATCTCTATACGGACTTTCTCAACTACTGAAGGCGAAGGGCAATATTTTGAATTTGTAAAATTAAAAAGTAATGTAAAATTTTAAAAATTTCAATAATAAAGTTGACAACCGTGAGATCAATCAACAAGTTCATATAGTTTTAATGTGTTTGGTTCTATCTTCTTAAACTTTGTGACTCGGCAGAGCCTTTCCTAGCCCCCCCCCCGCCCTTACCTATCTACGCCTATGCAGTTACTGAAAGCATGAGAGGTTTCCCCATTGCCTGTTTTCGGTGTATTTTCTCGCAGGCTTCGTCCTCAACTTACTAATAAACTGTCATTATTTACAGTGCACTGTGTTGTATCCTGTACAGATTTTTGTTAAAGTGAAAATTAGTTTTATTAATCAGGGAGGCACCAACCCCAATTAATGTTACCAAAAGACCCCCAAATTCACGGTCCTATCCTGTCAAAGGTCGCACAATCGAGTTGTTTAAAAATTATCTTTAATTCTTTTCGCTTATTGTCTATTTTGAAACAAACTATTTTATAGTCATTTAGTAAAATTGCATGCTAAACGTGAAATTATAAAACAGTGCCCTCTTTGCAAAGTGTGAGGAGACTTTGTCACTATAGCGACGCCGCATTAAAAATTCGGGAAAGATAACGTGTTTCCTTGGAAGACATATATTTTCAGCTCATCCTTATTTCTGGCAGGAAAACTTGTCATATGTAGTTGTGAATTCGAATATTATGATAATCCGTTTTGGTGCGGTCTAGGCCTTCGAAAAGGTGGTGGTGTAGGAGGCAGTGGTTCCGCACGATGCGTTTCTTCAACGATCGTGAGGGTGTGACGAAAACTGAAATGGAGTGCTGACACGAGCCTGTCATATTTTACAGGGAAAAGTTAATCTGGATTTTACTTTCATTCTTCTCATGTCGCACGCTAGTCTTATCCGTGTTTTATGGGTTCCAGCCATTGTCCCGCATTATATTTCGCCCAAGACAGTTTCCCGAAAATTTATTTACGCGACCCACCAACTTATGCTGCAATTGGAACGTATGATTAAATTTTTGCCCACTTCCTGAATTTGTGATTTATTGCGTGATCGATCAATGTTTAAATTAGTGTAATTTGCAAACAGTCTATATGTTGCAAATTAAAGAGGAAACAAAGATAATGTTCACTAATTAATTTATTGACTAGATATATATATGTTTTCGCTCATTTAGTTCATTATCTAAAAACGCGATTTAGAGAACGTACTCATACGACGTAACCCGTTTCAGAGGGGGAGGTTCAAAAATTCCTCGCATGTTCTGAGGGAGCTTGGGGCTTAGGTTACCGTCATGTAGTCTATATCCTGCAGGGAAACTTCGCGCCTTTTCGACCTATACTCAAAATTTTCTGTTTGCAAAAAATGACTTAAAACTATATTTAGGAATTATCATGTGAAATCTAGAGGGAGATCCTGGTAAATACTACGGGTGGTCTTCGAAGAGGAGATGGGGGGGGGGGTTAAAATTTTAAATAAATAGGTACCGCAGTATGTTTACATTCCATAATAATGGGCAAAGTCCATAACATATGTCGAATTTATACCTATATAAAGTTGTAGACACTGTTGATAAAGCTGGGGCAATTTTATGTTCAAAAAGGGCAATTTTATGTTTGGAAACTACAATCTTTTAACCTATCACACTTTAATGGACCATCCCGCAGATTATTTAATGTTTCGGGGATAATTAAGGTGTTAAAAAGAATGCATTAATCATTGAAATTTTGTGTTAATTTTTGCGTTTGTATTTGCGTTTTATAAATATCTATAAAGTTTGCAGATTTTGTTTAGGTATAATAAAATCAGATCAAGATTTTTGACAGAATTCTTTGATTTCAAAAATGAAAATCAATGGTCTCGTGATCCGTAGCAGCAGATAACCAGAAAAATTTTTATCCACTTTTAAAGGGGCTTCCTTCAGAATTTCTCACTTGGATAATTTTTTCCTTAAAAAATATTCACGACAATCGCGTTCAAATTTCGCAAATGATGATGATAATTACAGTGTTATCTACGATTAAATTGGTGGATGCTGGCCGTGCGAGCGACCGCAATAAAAAGCAGCGGTTGTGTTTCAAATTCTTTGCCGACAAAAATTCACAATCATCATAAGGTCGTCAGTCCTAAGACTGGTTGGATACGCACCTCCACTTGTTCCTATACTAAGCTAATCTTTGCATTTCCCTAAAACTAGAACAGTAATTTAATCTAGGTCTACCTCTACTTAACTCCTGTTTCTGCTTCTAAAATGTCTCTGACTAGACCTTCATTCCTAAGAAGGTATCCTGCCAACCTATCACGCCTACTTCTTATTGACTTCTATAAAGATCTCTGTTCTCTTATTTTTTTAATACCTCTTCATTTGTAATCTTCTCTTTCCACGGT